TATAGAAAAGTGGCTGGAGGGTTATATCAGTTTGCTATTTCCACAAATGATTAATAATAAACAGCCCCAGAACTTAGTGGTGTAAAGCAACTTTCATTCTCACTTACGACATGCAGGTCAACTAAGGAACTAAGGTATTTTGGGCATTGGGCTCAGTTGGGCTTGTCACAAGCTGAAGGCTGGGTTCAGGTCTGTTTCATGTTTCTCAGCCTTTAAGCCAGCAGGATGCCAGGCATGTATATCTCACAGTGATGGCAAAAAAAAAAAAAAAAAAAAAGCAGCTCACTCCTCCATCCACTCAATAGCTTCTAATGAGAACACATTTCTCATTCTATCTTTAAATATTGTAATAGTGTTCCTTTCTTTATCTCTGAATCTCAATCTTTATGATAACAAACCTTTGCTTTCTCAGTTGCCAGTTATTCAAAAAAGTCCTCTTTTTTTGGCAAATGGGTCAGTTGTTGGGAAATAACATGCTACAATTCAGTTCCTTCACTTCACAAATGAGATTCTGACAGGACAGAAAGTTACCAGCTTTCCTGAGTTCCCTTCATTGCTTATCACTTCAGCCCCTGCCCCTGGGCTCCTGATTTCTCAGGAGTAAGGGTGAGGGATTTCCAACCCTTCTGGGTCTTTTTAATGGTAATTCTTCATTTATCAGCAAACACACTATCCTGACTTCAGTTCATGTTCATCTTGGGATGGGGTCATCACCAGGGACAGTTAAGACAAGGTTACCACATTCCACTGTGCACTGAAGTTTAGACTTGGTCCTACAGTCCACGGGTACCCAAACCACATCTGGCAAGTTCATGAAAACCCAAAGTTGGCTCAACACTAGTCAGATTTAAAACATAAATTGTACGGAATAGCGAGTATTAGCAAGCTGTGAATACATTTCTTCTATCATCGAGTATTTATTTCCTCAGGGATTTTGGATGAATCTCTAAAGAAAGCAGCCAACATACCATAAATTATGTAAAACCAGAGGCCCGGAGCACAAAACTTGGAGGGTGTCTCTCAGCCCAGCCCGCACCTTCTCGCAGCCCAGGAGGACATCCCTCGGGGGATGTCTAACTGCAATGGAGGCCGGAGAGGCGCTCACCAGCCATGAGCCTGGCTCGGTGCTTCTGGCTGAGTGGTGGTCCCCCTGTGGAAGTGCACTGACCACCAGGGGGCAGCTCCCACATTGAGCGTCTGCCCCCTGGTGGTCAGTGCACATTATAGCGACCAGTCCTTCTACCATTGGGTCAATTTGCATCTTAGCCTTTTATTATATAGGATAATTTACAGAACTAGCTAAAACTAAAAATTAATAAGTATAGTCTCCTTGCTAGAAAGTTTTATTAGTCCCAAAAGTCTTGTGTTTTTAGATTAAATCATGCAAAATAATTTAATGTATCTGTATATATCTGTTCCTATGACAGCTAACATTTATTGAGCTATATGTGTCAAATACTATGCTAAGAATTTTACATATGTTTATTGTAAGATTTCCACCAACTAATAACTATATGAGTTGAGTGCTAGAATTACCCTCAATTTATAAGAAAACCCAAGCTTAGAAAGAATAAAAAATTACTCAAAAGCATGCTGCTGGTAAGTGTTGGAGCCAGGATTTGAACTAAAGTTGTCTGATGCAGTGATCTTGCTTCCCCAACAATTCTACTACAATGCTTCTGTCACCTATCATTTATCTATGACTATGATTCTCAAAAATGCATACCAGAATTATGAGTTTTCCCCTATTTTTAATCTTCCTAGATCTTAATATTTTTATATAAAAGTGAGTTTTAAATATGTGTATCATAATTATGGGTACTCTTTTATGTATGTAATTGAAAACTGTAGTTAACACATTGCCCAAATGTGTGAACACTTGTATCCATGTATATTTAAAAATTATACAGTGATGTTTGTCAAAGATGAAAAAAAATTTCATTACATTTTCAGTAGAGAAGTACCTTTCAAATGTGGTTATACGAACAGAAATGGCATTAGTCAGGGTTCAATTGCAGGAAACAGCCACCACTCTATTTTAAGCAGAGGGTATATAGGGAGTTAAATGCTCACAAAATTGAAGGTTGGGAAAACAAGCTTTGGACTGAGCCTCCAGAAATAACTCCCAGAATGACACTGCTCAACTGTCCCTCCAGGAGAGTTGCTCTTGTGTCACAGTAGGAGGGGAGACTGCCATTGAACCTGCTGAGTTTCAGGGCTTAGGGCCATCACTGTGGTCCAGGGATCAGAAAGTGGCCATAACTGCTCCCTGGTACCTGTGTTACAGAATTTACCAGACGAATGAAAAATATGCAGGAGTACTGGAGACACAGGAAAAGCCCATTTATTTTCAGATGTTTCACGTGTACTAGTACAGTGACTCAGGGGAGGCTGTTTCTCTCCAAATCCTGAGCAAATCAATACAGAGGAAGCTCTCCCTTTATATACTTTGGTTTCTTTGTCCCCCAGATATGGATGGACTTCCGGACCTTTCATGGCTTTGCAAAAAGCCCAGTGTGTAGGGATGGGGGCCATGAGACCACACCTAAAGGCGTGGCCTGGCGCCAGCACTGACAACCCCCTTTGGGGGTTGTGTAATGTTCACAGTTTATGGCCTCTGTGAAATGGGAGTTCTTAGGTAAACAGGTCTTGCAAGACCAGATAATTAAGGAAGGGGCAGTGGCTAGACTATAAGCTAACAGGAATGTGCATTCAGGCTGCTAGCACAGATTCAGTTTGCTAGCACCCCCCAAAAAAATGTCTTATTTTTCCTATCACCTGCAAAACTGGGGATAGGACATTGGAGCATGGCTGCAACAAAACTCAACAGCTGAAGACCCAGGAAGATACTCTGCATTGCATTCCTACCTTGAAGTCTAAAACTAGTAGCTGGAATTGATATAATCTAATGTGTACTAGAATGAGAGCTGCAAGGGATTGAGAGTTACAGCGTTTAGCTTCCAGGTTCTGTCAGACAGGAAAGACACTCTTAGAAGGAATTTGGTGATTGAGTGCCATTTTAAGGTTTCCACCACAAAGCACATTATTAAGTAATTTCAAATGGAATTCCTATGGCTGTGAGACACTGTGGTCTATGTCACACTGCAAACCAACACCTCAATTGGACAGCAGTCTCCAGTGCTTCATGCAATGCTGTCTAACATGTGTCACTGAAATTGCTGCTGACACAGTAACCGAAGGAGAAAAAACTTGGCTTGTGAATTATGTAAAATGTGTCAAATTACTTTGATAAGAGCTTGTTTGTCTTCAGGGATTACATACTGTCAATAGATATGTGATAGCTACCCTGATTAAACATGTTCTAAGGCCCAAAGGATATGACAAGAATTATCAATGTTCTTGTCTGTGTTTAGAGACGAGAAAATAATATTGTCTAATAATATGAGAAAGTGCATATGTACAATATTAATTTTAAACAGATGTAAAATTTTATGGACTATGATTGCAATATATCATAAAACAATAAATCTTATTAATAATCAAGAAATAATGAAATACCACTTACTGCCCATCAGATTGGCAAAAACTGAAAAGACAGATAAATACCTAGTGTTGGTGACTTGGGGAGGAAATGCATTTTAGGTTTGAGTGTAGATTGATTCAGTGGTAGCTGTTAAGTTAGAAAGTGTGCACACCAAGACAGTGATACTTACACCTAGTCGGAGGAGCTTTTCCCCTCCCCTCTACCCATTCTTACCAACTGGAATTCAACTTTTTAAAAAATAATTTTTTTTATTGATTTCAGAGAGGAAGGGAGAGGGAAAGAGAGATAGAAACATCAATGATGAGAGAGAATCATTGATCGCCTCCCTCCTGCACAACCCCCTCCTGGGGGATGGAGCCCACAACTCAGGCATGTGCCCTGACCAGAATGGAACCCTGACCTCCTGGTTCATCAGTAGACGCTCAGCCACTGAGCCACGCGGCCTGGGCTCATCTTTCTTTTTAATGGCAGTTTGCCTTTTAATATATCTGATTACTCTCAACGAAAGTACAAGTTTCTTGAAGAGAACTCAATAAATGTTCGATCTGAGGTGCATACTAAGTCTACCATAAGTGAAATTTAATAGGAATAAATAATCTGAGGAAAGGGATGATAAAATATTTCCCCGGTCGCCGGTTTAAGTGTTCTCTTTCATCAGAGCTCATCTGGAAGCTGCCTTCGATCATTACCTACTGCTTCATAGGACATGCTAGAGGCCTTGACTCCGGAACTCGTGTGAGCTCCTCAAAGGCAAAGACTCTCCCTCTCTGACTGAAAAAGGGGCCGATTGGAAGGAAGCCCTTGAGGAAGGAGATGAGCCAAGAGAGGAGCACAGCAAAGGGGAGGGGCGCCTGTGCACCCACAACTGCTTCTGAGAGCTGAAGGCTGCGGGCTTTGCAGCCCCGCTGCTTCCTGCCGGGTTTTTAAGAGGCGCGAGAGGAAATCGCAGCGCCGCCGCCAATTGGCTGTGGCGAGACCCCCGTGCCCTCGGCGGCCCGCGGGGAGGGGAGCCGGACTGCGAGCCGGCCTCTGGCCGGCAGGGGGCGCCCTGCGAGCGGCGGCTCCGCCCCGCCCCGCCCCGCCCCGCCCCGCCCCCCGCCTCCCGGCGCCACGCCCGCCCCCGGCCCAAGGCCAGTGCCTCGCGGGCCGCCGCCGCAGCACGCTGGCCGCCCCCGCCCCACCCCTCTCCGCCCCGCCCGGCTCCGCGGCGGGACGGGTAACGGTTACGAAGCACTTTCGCGCCGCGATTTCTGCTTAGTCATTGTCTTCCAGGAAGTGCTGCCTCAGTTGGGAGCCAACTCTCCGCGGCGGCCGCAGCAGCCGGAGCCGCAGCCCCGGCGCGTCCTTCCTCCCGGGCCGCCGCCGCCGCCGGCCTCCCCGGGCCCGAGCGCAGGCCGAGCTCCCGCCGCGCGGGGCAGGCAGCCGCGCGCCCGGCTCTCCGGCCTCGGGCGCCGTGTCTGCGGGGCCGCCTCCCTCCCCGCCGGCGGCCGCGGCCATGGGCACCGACAGTCGCGCGGCCGGGGCGCTCCTGGCGCGGGCCCGCACCCTGCACCTGCAGACGGGGAACCTGCTGAACTGGGGCCGCCTGCGGAAGAAGTGCCCGTCCACGCACAGCGAGGAGGTGAGGGCGGCCGGGCGGGCGGAGGCGCGGGCTCCGGGCAGGCCGCGCGGCGCGGGGCGCACCTGGGCTCGGCCCGCGGAGGAGGCTGAGGCTGAGGCTGCGGCCCCGCCGCTCGGGACCCATAGCTGCTGTTGGGGCGACGGGTCTTTACACACTTGGCAGGTGCATCTGTACCCCGAGCGATGCCTCCGCCGTGCGTGCCTGGGGCTGGCGCCCGACTCGGAGGTGCCGGGTTCCCTCGCGGCCGCGGGGTCAGAGGAGGCCAGTGCGGCGCCGGCCCCGCTCTCTTCCCGCGGCGCGTTCAGGTGAAAAATAGTTCAGAGACTCGTTTCTTTGGAGAATTCAGATGGAGTAGTAAGTAGCTCACTTAGCCTGTAGGATGTGGACAGTAGTTTCTCTGTGGCTGTGAGACGCATTGACTAAACATCCAATTCGGCTTTGAAACAAAGTACATGTTTTTCTTGTCGAAGAGTAGTCTCAGTTTCTTTGCCCAAAGACTGATCACTGGTTTGAAGTGGCGGAGGTGAAGGTGGAATCCTATGCTCCTTACATTTCAGAGCGGACAGTAAGTAAATCGTTGACTCCGCACGAATGATTGCGGAGGCATATTGGTGGGATGGGACAATTCCATAACGGACAAACGAAATAAAACTTCCATTTAGGAGCTCTATAACTTTGAGAAGGTTACTCTCTCTGACTGGTAGCTTTAAAGTTGCATAATATCTTCTTCAGCAGGCTGTTGTGAGATTGAAACTATATGTGAAAACGCTCACCATGCAGCCATTTTATCTCCCTTGTTTTCTGGTTCAATCGGGAAGATGAATATTTTTTAATATATTTTTGATTTTTTTACAGAGAGGAAGGGAGAGAGAGGGTGGAGAGTTAGAAACATCGATGAGAGAGAAACATCTGATCAGCTCCTTCTTGCACACCCCCTACAGGGGATGTGTCCGCAACCCAAGTACATGCCCTTGACTGGGATCGAACCTGGGATCCTTGAGTCTGCAAGCCGAAACTCTATCCACTGAGCCAAACCAGTTAGGGCAAGATGAATATTTTTTAATAATTATTAATTTTTCTATTACAGTTGACATACAATATTATATTAATTCCAGGTGTACCACATAGTGATTAGACATTTATGAAGTCACTTATGAAGTGATCACACAGATAAGTCTGGTACCCATGTGACACCAATAAAGCAAACCTTGATTTTAAAAAAAATGCCCTAAACCGTATCAGAATGTGACGTTATCAGTTGTGTTCCTAGGCAGTTTCTGCTGTTTAATATAAGATACTGGTGATAAACTCTACAGCAGCACATGACATCCATCTAAGTATGTGCCAGGCCTGTGCACAGGTCTGGTATTTGGAGTGAGTGTTGTCCAGAGATGAGAGCACTGGTTGTAATTTAAAAGGAATCAGAATCCTGTACCATAAAGAAATGCATTTATCTTGCAATACAGTTATATACAGACACACACACACACACACATGCACACACTAGTACCGTGGTTGGCAAACTGGCTTAGGAGCCACATGTGGCTCTTTGGCCCCTTGAGTGTGGCTCTTACACAGAATACCACAGCCTGGGTGAGTGTATTTTGAAGAAATGGCATTAGAAGAAGTTTAAGTTTGAAAGATTTGGCTCTCAAAAGAAATTTTAATATTTGTACTGTTGATATTTGGGTCTGTTGACTAGTGAGTTTGCTGACCACTGTACACATATTGGAGATGTGCCTGCAATCAAGGAGCATGCCCTTGACCGAAATCGAACCTGGACCCCTCAGTCCGCAGACCGACGCTCTATCCATTGAGCCAAACACGTCAGGGCAACCCAATTCTTTATTGTAATGGTAGTTGACCAGTTGAATTATATGCTATTTTTTAAACTCTTATACAACTGCAGATTTAATGATACACTCACTACATTATAATGATACTTATCTTCAGTGATACTATCATATATAGGGATGTATGGGGGGGAGAGGTAAGAATGAAGAAAGCAAAGAGCAAACAGTAACAGGTTAATGTTCAGTTGATACAGATAACATGTAAAAGATTAAAAATCACTAGGGTTGTGATATAGTCAATGAATTTCTTCTATTATTACATTGGACTGTTCTATGACATTTTTCAGAATCCAATATTTATTAAAGAAATAGTTTCAATGCTGGTCATTTTGGCTCAGTGGTTGAATGTTGATCCATGAACCTTTGATTCCTGGTCAGAACAAATGCCTGGGTTGTGGGCTTGGTTCCCAGTAGGGGGCGTGCAGGAGACAGCTAATCCATGTTTCTATCTCAATCCCTCTTCCTTCCTATGTCTCTAAAATCAAGGGGGGGGGGGAATATATATATATATATATATATATTAATAATTAATGTCGTTTTCTAATTTTTTAAAATCGAATTTATTTAAACAATATAACAAAATTTAATCAACAATATAGTTGCCGTTGTTTTCTACTACTTGTGCCCAATGCTCAGGAAGCATTTTAATCCCTCTGTTGTAAAATTCTTGTGATTTTGATGCAAAAAATTGGGTCAATGCATTTTTGAGGCATTCTTCATTATTAAATTTTTTTCCAAGAAGAAAGTTTTGCAAAGAACGAAACAAATGGTAATCGGAAGGGGCAATAACAGAAGAATATGCAGGTTGAGGGAGAACTTCCCATTCCAACTGGCGCAGTTTTTCAGCAGTGATTCTTGCAGTATGCGGTCGTGCGTTATCCTGGTGAAGAATTACGCTCTTCCGATTAATCAGCGCGGGTTCTTTTTCTCTTAAAGCTTGGGCTAACCTTTCCAATTGGGCACTATACACTGCACTTGTAATGGTTTGGTTAGATGGTAAAAGTTCATAATGAAGAATTCCTTTAAAATTCCACCAAACACACAACATCACTTTTTTCGAATGCAAGTCAGGTTTTGGCGTGGGCTGCGGAGCCTCATTTTTGTCCAACCATTGAGGCCGCCTTTTCAAATTAACATATAGCACCCATTTTTCATCTCCGGTAACAATTTGCTCTAAAAACGGCAAACGGTTTTGACGAGAGAGGAGCGAACTGCAAATTGTGACGCTTTGATTACGGTTGTTGTCGGTCAACTCATGAGGAACCCATTTTCCAAACTTTTGGACTTTGCCAAGTGCACGCAATTGATTGGAAATTGTTTTTTGTGAACAATTTAAAGTTGTCGCAAGCTCTTGTTGGGTAATTTGAGGATTTTGCACCAAAAGAGCTTGAAGAGCTTCTTGATCAAAATTGGACACACAGCCTCGACCACTCTTGTCATCTAACGAAAAATTTCCCTCGCGAAATTTCTCAAACCAACGCTGGCATTTTCTGGCGCTAACTGCATCTTGACCAAGAGCACTACAGATGTTTTTTGCAGCCTCACTTGCTTTTCTTCCTAATTGGAACTCGTAAAGCATGCAGTGCCGAATATGCTCTTCATCCGCCATTTTCTTAGCCCTAGTTTTGCAACAAAAACCAAACCAAATACAAACTTTTTCAAGCAAAACTTGTTAATTGCACTTCACACGTTCTGTAGATACCACGTGTTTGAAGGTTATGTCAATACAAGTCAACGCCAAGCAAGATTTTAAACGAATGTTAAAAAACGACATTAAGTATTACTAGACCCGATATATATATGTATGTATGTATTTTTTTAAAGAAATGGTTTCAAGAAGGGAGAGAAAATAGATTTAGCTTCCTGAATTGGAATTCACTAGGAAAGCCTTAAGTATGCAAAGGAGCCATTCTTCCAAAGGAAAATTTCATCAAATTCTCCCCTGATTTGAGCCAAAGCACTCCTGCTAGAATTGTTAAATTACAATCTGTCCTGCTGCCTCAGCTTTTACTACTTTAAAAAAAAAATATTGACTTGCAATTATCTGGAATAATTATCAACTAGCTTTTATCTACAGACTTAAATTTATTATAAATATACTTTCTATAAAGATATAAACCTTGTAAACTGAATCTATGTGGATTATTGTATTGTTGTGGATTGTAAATCTTAACATAGGTGACTGAGCTCTTCAATTGATAAACCAGTTGTTCCTTGTAATTATCTGCACTAAGATATAAGCAATAAAGTGTATATATCAGTTTCTATCATAAGCAGTCATAGATCAGATAGTCTCTGTTATTGCTATTAGGAAAGTGCTTTTGCAATTCAGGGACTTGCTGCTAGATACACGTTTATTTTTTCATTGATTGTCTATAGACTGCAAGGCACTGTGCCCTTGGATTATTATAAGGCAGTGATTTCAAACTGCTAGTGTTGCCCATTAGTAGTCATAAGTCAATTTAGTGAGTTATGGAACAGCATATTTTTTCCAATTAAGAAAAACAAACAGTGCACTTGGCATATAGCGAACATAAATATTGTTTTGCAAATTTTCTATTATATGTATGTAGTAGGTGCTCCAGAGGTGAATTATGTCTTGCTTTACCACTATCAAATAAGTTTGAAGTATACTGACATAAGAGATAAAAGAATATAAACACTTGAAAGAATTTATAACATCCCATAATGTTAGTGTAACATTTTATTTGCTTATATAAGAAAACATTGAAGACAGGTTGGACAGTCTGTAAATAATGTCTAAGTGTTAGGAAATGACATATGGACTGAATGCACATTGACTTCTGTAAGATACGACTGTGATGGTTTTCAGACTTCAGAGGACATATTGTGCTAGGGATGCTTGTTAAATAAAAGTTCTGCCGTATAGCCGAAGCCGATTTGGCTCAGTGGTAGAGCATCAGTCTGGACTGAAAGGTCCCAGGTTCGATTCGGGTCGAGGGCATGTACCTTGGTTGTGGGCACATCCCTGGTAGGGGGTGTGCAAGAGGCAGCTGGTCGATGTTTCTCTCTCATCGACGCTTCTAGCTCTCTATCTCTCTCCCTTTCTCTCTGTTAAAAATCAATAAAATACATTTTAAAAAAAAAAGTTCTGCCTTATAGAGTGGTTAAGCAGGTCTATTATGAGGCTTAGGAATTTGAGTTTTTAATAAACACCACAGGTGAGTCTGAGGCAGTAGTCCTTCTGGCCACATTGAGAGAATCGTGTGTTTGTTTTTGAGGACTATAACAATAGTTAATATTAGTTCTAGTCAGGCTGCCTGGACATGAACCCATGTTTCTCCATTATAAATGTTACTGATTTTTTTGTTTGTTTTTTTATGTATGTTTTTATGTCTTAACAGTTTACTTAAAATTTTATTGGTACAAAAATACTTTTTATATATTTTTTTATTGATTTTTTTTTTACAGGGGGGAAGGGAGAGAGAGAGAGAGCTAGAAATGTCGAGAAACACCGACCAGCTGCCTCCTGCACACCCCCCACCGGGGATGTGCCCGCAACCAATGTACATGCCCCTGACCGGAATCGAACCTGGGACCCTCCTGTCTGCAGACCGACACTCTACCACTGCGCCAAACCGGTTTAGGCCAAAAATACTTTTTAAATGATTAGTTTACTGCTTTTAGGTCATCAACATTTGAGAATTAAGAGGAGGATAAAATAGATATAAACTTACCTTTGTTATAGAGAACAAACAACCTTGTAGAACTAAAATTTTGGTTTGCACAGCATTTCCTATTGACGTCTTTTTCTACTTATCAAACCAATACATTCTTATTATATATGTACAGAAAAGTGTATAGAGTTTGCTTAACAGTTTCAAATACATTCCTTTTGCAGCTTCGAGATTGCATCCAAAAGACCCTGAATGAATGGAGTTCCCAAATCAGCCCTGATTTGGTCAGGGTGAGTAAAATGTGGGCCAAGAAATCATGTAGTCCAAAAGGGAAGGGAAGTAAGCAGGAAATCAATTTCCTTAGTTTTAATAGGGAAGTCAAATAGATAATTAGCATAAAACTCCCTGTGGCCTATATTCTGAGATGGCAGTCTGAGTCAGTATAAGCTTAAGCTTAAACAGAAAATCTAGACTGTGTAGTCAACTCTTTAACTATTCAAGATACTAGGATTCTCTGTACTTAATTCTCATAATGTATTTTGTTCCAATTTGTATTTGACTTGATAAAGCAATAACTATTATTAAGTAGTTTTGATTGGTAAATTGCTTTGCTAGAATATCACCCCAATAATATAGTCACTAGAAATAATTTTCTAAATGTCAGTTTCTGCTGAAACAGTAAGGAGCTGTGTTTCATTGAATGTCAGTATATAACAATATACAGAACACTTGTCTCTAAACCACTCTTTGGGATCCATATCAGCCAAAGGTATATAACAAATCACACACAGACTGCTTTAAAAGATTGGAGGAAGATGTATGCTAGATACACTTGATCCCCTGGGCAAGTTTTACAACTTGATAGCTGCTAGACATGCATTGATTAATGCCTATTATCAGTCTCTGTTTCTCTAAAATTACCGTTTACCTTATTTATGCATCATTAGTAAACACTTACTGGCCAGGCATTGTAATATGCTCATGACTTGTGAGAAACACCTCACTGTTTACTTTGTTTGAAATGTTTGTGATTGATGAAGAAAGTTTTTAGCATGTCATTATCCAGAATGGATAATAGTATTTTTCATTGGTTTCTTTTCTAAGTAAAATTACTTACGGTATTAGTGGTTCTAACTCTTTACAGCCTCCTGCCCTCCACCCCCATTTATTTGTGTATGTGTTGTGATCTGAGCACCTGATCAAAATGAGACACTTTTTCCCAGAAAATGAACTCACACGCAGTGTTTTACCTGCATTTCAGGGCTTTCCAAACATTATGAAGCCCATTCAGACCTCAGGTAAAGAACCCTGCTATCTTTTGGGTTCCCTGCTGCTAAGAGCTTTATGAATAGTAGAAAATATATAGCTAATCTAAAACATTTTATGTTTATTGTAAACATCATGTGTTTATTATAGGAGTTTCCAGATGTCTTGGAATGTACTGTACCTCATGCAGTTGAAAAGATAAGTCCCGATGAAAGAGATGAAATGAAAGTTTCTGGTAAAGTCTAGCTTTTCCAATTCATTATGTCATACAGCAGAAGTGACAGTTTTTATTGGGCATGGCAACAAGCTTTTCTTTGCTTCTGGTAATGAGTGACTTAGTTACTAAGTGTGATACATAGAAATTTTAATGTCAGCTCTCAGAGGGTGTTACAGGAGGTCAGTGTTGGCTACTTCAGTGGAGTCACAATATAACTTTACCTTACTGTTCTTCACAGTCATTTATTAACTTACATTCTGGACTTCAGAGCGGTGGGATGACTAAGCTGGAGGAAATGGAATGAATAAAGGAGAGTCTTAAGATCACTGCCTTCCCAAAGTAGACATAAGCCCTCCCTTCCTGGTGGGACACTGCCAAACAGTGGCTGGGATGGCCTGGGAGTATAGAAAGAAGTCTGGGCAACAAGTTTCATGAAGAGAAATAAAATACATGTTATACCCATTCAACAATGTATCAAGTGACTACTTGCCAGAGACTGTGTGAAGCTCAACAAATGAAAAGGTGCCCTGTTCTTGCCGGGACTGGTTTGGCTCAATGGATAGAGCGTTGGCTTGGGGACTGAGGAGCCCCGGGTTCGATTCCGGTCAAGGGCATGTACCTTGGTTGCAGGCATATCCCCAGTGGGGAGTGTGCGGGAGGCAGCTGATGGATGGCTCTCTCTCATTGATGTTTCTAGCTCTCTATCTCTCTCCCTTCCTCTCTGTACAAAAATTGGTAAAATATATTTTAAAAAGTGCAAGCCCCGTTCTTGCACTCAGTATAGTTAGCATAACACAATAATGAAAAGCTTGAACTTGACTAAATTGAAATTTCTGGATGTGCAGGTTATTGACTCGGATCATCTTGGGTTAACAAAAGTATTTAATCTCTCTGACTCTGTTTCTTCATCTATAAAATGGGGATGCACCTGTTTCACAGGCTTATTTGTAAGTTACATGAAATTACAAAAGCATTTACCACAGTGCTTGGCATAAAGTTAAGTGCTAGGTAGCTATTCTTTACTACCATTTGTGTTTGTTGTGGTGTTTCTCTTTTTTTCATGTCCAGCACGGAAAAACAACAGGTTCCTGAGGGGAGGAGCTGGGGATTAAGAAATTAGAGAAAGAAAGAGACAAGAGGCAGAAATAGATTCATAAAGCCGGGAGCTAGGTGGGTGCCATCTCTCTGATGGAGAGACAGTCACATTCACCACAGACAACACAGCATATTTATTGGCTTCCAAAGGGGAGTTTAAGGTCAAAAGGAGTTTTGGGTGTGCCCAGATCCTATTCATCAAAATCTGGGTAAGCTCCTTATTTTTTGGTACAAGACTTAGCATATCAAGACCTGGGTGAGTCAAGGTCCTATTTAATTCTCAAAACAGTTCTATAAGGTAGGTCTGTCATTCTCATTGCACAGGTGACATTAAATAACTTGAAAGTTGTCATACAGCCAACCAAGTAAGTGGTTGAACCAGGAATCCATCCAGACTCCAAAACCCATTTCTTTCTATTAGTTTCACATTGCTGTTTGTCTTGAAAAGGAAGTGAAAGCAACATTTTCCCTGTGGTTAATTGCACTTCATTATGGTTTAGATGCATCTTGGATCTCTTACAAATTGTCCTTAGTCCGGGGAGAGCTTCAGTACCCAAATTCCCCCATATGAATAGCTTTCCTCTCTCTACTCATCTAAAAATGCCGCTTTGAGAGAGAGAAGACCGTTTCAAATGTCAGACACTCATGGACAGAGGGACTGTAGTGGGAGGGTTTGCAAAGAGTATGATTATGAGAGCTAAGGTTGGACTAAAGAGAAGATTGACTCACCTGGCAGAGGAGCTGTGCTGGCTTATAAGTAGAACATGAGGAAAGCGGTGTTTTAGGAAGGTTATCTAGTAGTGGAAAGGAAAGGAAAAATAAAAGAAATGTATAAGGAAAATTTGTGGTATACTGGTATGTTGAATCCCAGGCATTTTATTAGCCAGTTTTCTATTCATTCACCTTTTGGATTTTCTCTTCCTACTAATCCATTTATCTATTTGAGTGAATTTAGATATTTTTAAACAGTGAATTTACATCAAGTAAATATAGACCTGTAAAGTTGAGTTGATCTCAACCAGTGGCTCAGTGGTTGAGCTTTGAGACCTATGAACCAGGAAGTCACAGGATTGTTTGTTTTCCGATTTCTTCTCCTTACAAGCAGTTTTAGTCTCTCTCTATATTATAGTTTATTGGAGAGCATAAATAATATGCTCCATTAATGTTTAATTCACAAATGTACATTTTCAGTAAAAAGTTTCTATTTATCTGACCTACCTTCTAACTAATGGGTAATTAATATTTGCTTTTTTTGTTTTGACAAACATATTTGTTGGCAACTAGCATATAATTTAAAAAATACAGTGAAAATAACTTTTATGTCTTAAAATGAAAACTATAAAGTAATGTTACTAGAAAAGAAAAAACAATCCATTCAGAATTATCTGTCATCTTAGTATTGGTAGCAGTATTAATACTTTATAGTACAATGTTACCCAAATGTAGTAATCAGTTTTATTTTCTTTGTTACCCAGCAAAACTGTTCATGGTAGCATCAAATTCTTCATCATCAACTAAAAATGCAGTTGACATGGGTAAGCCAAATATTAACATTTTATCTTTATAGTGGACTTTAAATTAGTGTAGGTGTTATATTAGTTATATCTTTTTTACAATTTATCTTTAGTTGAAAGTGTTACAGATGTCCCCTTTGTGTTTTTTTCCCCATTGAACCCCTCCACCCCATCCCACTCCTCCCAGACCTTCACCACTCTATTGTCTGTGTCATGGGCTATGCATATGTCCATATAAGATTCCTGGTTAATCACTCCCCTCCACACCCATACCCCAGCCATGTTCAGACCCACACAAAATAGAAAATGAACTCATTCCAATTTTACGTGTTATTTTAAAAGACTTTTTTAAAGTTGAATTTTTGAGAGAGGGGAAAGAAGAGGGAGAGAGAAACATCAATGTGAAAGTGAAACATAGATCAGCTGTCCCTGCACGCCCCCTCCTGGCATGTGCCCTGACTGGAATCAAATTGGCAACTTCAGTGCACAGGATGATGCCCAACCAACTGAACCATACCAGCCAGGGCAGCTGATTTTACATTTTAAAATGCTAACCTAATTTTCTAAAGCTTCTGTAGAATCATATTAAATCATGGAGGGTCATATTTTGATATATAAGAGGAATATAAAAGATGTAACATTTAACTGTTAACTATGTGTTTGGAAATAGAAATTCTCCTTAATCATATTCTTTGCCCTTTTAATACTATAGATGAAATCAAAACAACAACAAACAAACAAAACATTTTTTACCTATTTTAGTACTTGGTTTAGGTTATTGTGGTATTATTACAGTTATTCAGTATCTATCCCCCCCATGTATTTATTTAATATATTCATCACAGGGGCTCAACCAGACTTAATTTAAGAAACAGACACAGCACAAATACAACACCACAGCTAAAGATATAGGGTCCTATACAGAAATCAAGGCAAGGACAGACTATCTAAGGAAAAATAAAAAGACAGCAAAGAAGAGAGGCTGGACAGCCCGGTCAGGGCTCCTGGCCAGAGACCTGCTTTGTGTAGGTTTCTTGTAGGCACTTCTTGAAGACTGGGGTTTCCTGAGCTCTGCAGTGCGTGTTCAATGGCCTATCAGTGTTGGGTTCTCCTAGCAGGCTTGGATGGAGAGCAGGATGGTCCTGATAGAATACGGAGCAGACCACTTATCCTTTCAGTGTCCAGGCAGATGTTACCCTGGATATCTACGTGGGGATGAGGGATTTCACCGTGGGCACGTTTCACTGGTAGTCACTGAGGAACTCAAGGGACAGCTTATGCCCCAAGGCTTCCTGTACTGTGCTTGCTGTTCCCACCCATTAGAAAGGGTTGTCACATTCAGAGAAGGCAGAAGTTCCTTTGTCACCAGACATCATGGGGGTCAGCTCTTGCTCACTCGGCCCGGCCCGGCCCGGGCAGGGCCCACACTGGGCTCGGCTCCTTTACAAGCTGAGGTGACGCTGGTGGCAGCTGGGTGCGGTTCTGGGAGGCCATCTGGGCAGCGCTGGCAGAGACATGGGAAGTCTGAGAACACAACTGTAGCTGCTAGTATTTTTTTCTTTTAAAACATTCTTCCAGTATTTACATATGTTGGATACTTAAATAATTAGCTCTTCAATAAAACTGTGGAGTACACAATAATCATTAAAAATAAACTCAAGTGATCTTTATAGAAACTAAGAAATTACTAGTATTTACCTCTATAAATATAGATTAAGACCATACATTCAGTTTTTCAGTCTCAAATTTATGTTTTGCTGTGACCACCAGTTGCGGAACATTAGGTCAGAATTCTCATGATCGTATCTGTGAGATACTAGTAGAACTAGGGAAGAAAATGTCATGGAGCTAAGGACGGCACCGAAACATCTGGCACCCAGGAAACAGAGGTTTGTTCTCCCAGAGAGAGGTGGGTTCCCCAAGAAGAGACAGGCCAAAGAAGTCCACTTGCCTGCCGAAACCGGTTTGGCTCAGTGGTAGAGCGTCGGTCTTCGGACTGAAAAGTCCCGGGTTCGATTCCGGTCAAGGGCATGTACCTTGGTTGCGGGCACATTCCCAGTAGGGGGTGTGCAAGAGGCAACTGGTCGATGTTTCTCTCAATAAAATATATTAAGAAAAAAAAAAAAGAAAGAAACCCACTTACCCACTACATAGACCAAGAAGGTGAATGAACACTTACACTTTCCTTTTGTAATCCTCACCTGAGGATATGTTTTTATTGATTTTGATTGAGAGAAACACCAATCGGTTGCCTCCCATTTGAGTCCCCACAGGGGATTAACTCTGCAACCTAGGTATATTCTTTGTCCGGGAATCGAACTCAAAACTTTTTGGTGTACGGGACAATGCTCCAACCAACTGAGCCACCTGGCCAGGGCCGTACACTTAATTTTTTTTAGAAAATGGAAATATTCTCTCTCTCTCTTTTTTTTTTTTTTAATTATATTTTATTGATTTTTCACAGAGAGGAAGAGGGATAGAGAGCGAGAAACATCGATAAGAGAGAATCATCGACCAGCTGCCTCCTGCACACCCCCTACCGGGGATGTGCTCACAACCAATGTACATGCCCTTGTCCGGAATCGAATCTGGGACCTTTCAGTCCACAGACCGACGCTCTATCCACTGAGCTAAACCGGTTTCGGCCAGAAAATGGAAATGTTCTAAGGAACAGATAAATTGTGAAATGGAGCAATGTCTTATATTGAAAAATAGTGAATATATGGACAGAATTCAGTGGGATGTTTGAAGCATTAGAAATACTTGTTTTATTATGTAACTAACATTTATCCTCTGGTTTTCCTTCACATCAGCCTGTTCAGTCCTTGGAGTTGCACAGCTGGATTCTGTGATCATTGCTTCACCTCCTACTGAAGATGGAGTTAATCTTTCCTTGGAGCATTTGCAGCCTTACTGGGAGGAATTACAAAACTTAGTTCAGAATAAAAAAATTGTTGCCATAGGTACCTCTGATCTGGACAAAACACAGTTAGAACAGCTGTATCAGTGGGCCAAGGTAAAGGACAGTTAGATCATGAGCACTAGGGGGGAGAAAGAAGGGGGAGGGGGAGTTTCTCTTACAGTCTTTGTTGTATTCTGTTGTGTATTGTGCATATAGTGGACACTCACTGTGGAGTACCTATTCCAAATGTGGAAGTTTTGAGACTGATTTTATATACAGAATTGGATTTCCCCCCCCCCCTCTCAAATATATAGGGTGTCTCAAAAAATGCATACACAGTGTTTATTAAAATACATTTTAGTTTCAAAATTGAAATTGAAGTGTGTATACATTTTTGGGACACCCTATACGTCTAATTGAACTTAATATTAGTCTCATTTAAAATGAGTGACAAAAACACTAGAAAATGTGTATTGAAGCATTCATAGCCAAATGAATTAAGTCAGTTTTCTTCTGTTTAATTATGTGATTAAAATATTACGTTTTTCATGAGCTATTATTAAACCATGGTTCTGATTTACTAAAAGTAAGGGGCTATTATATATAACAAATATTTTGCTGACTATTATTTAAAGTTACATGAGGCTTAGTTTATACACTTGATAATGGAGTCACAAATTAATCCCCCCATGTTCCTCCTCCCCCCTCTCCCCACTATCTGGCCTAATAACATACAAGCTATTAGTGAAGTTGCTTATGGTATTTTACCTTTACTCTCTGTATCTCTATTCCTTTTACTTCAGAGCTTTCAGTTTCTTGTTGACAAGAAGACCCTAGAGAAAGTGTTCCCTCTTCTTCCTTTGACGTGGTGGGAGCTGGAATGTGACTGAGGCCCTGCTAGAGAGCCTTGGGTGATCCAGAATGTATCTATAAATTAACCAGAGGAGCTGTTAGAAATGATCTAATATTCTCTTTTCAAAATGTCTCTGATTAATAACCATTTTATACTTTAACATTAAATGTACTTGTCATTTGTGTTGATCCTCTACCTTTAAGACATATTCCCTCTGTAGTTAGAACCATCAAGTCTGTTTCTGAGGCAGATGTATTAGATTGCAGGTTCTAGCAGGAGACATTTAATATTGTAGTACTATATTGGCTTTCCCCCCACCTAGAGCTATTTTTCCTTTCCCTGTTACTGCTAACATGAGTTAGAAAACATACATTAATAAATACATTGATGTAAAAGTAATTTATAAACTTTAAGTGCTATAGAATGTGATAATTTCCAAATTGAGTCCTTGTATCATCTTCTACTTTCAGTAGTACTTAATTTAGTGGAGATATCATGATTTATTTATTTATTTTTTCACTTCTAGGTCAAACCAAATAGTAACCAAGTTAATCTTGCCTCCTGCTGTGTGATGCCACCTGATTTGACTGCATTTGCTAAACAATTTGACATACAGCTATTGACTCATAATGACCCAAAAGGTGAGACAGATTTTCTTTTTTTTTTGTTTCAGAGAGCTTTAGTTTTGTCTTTGTACCAATGGGGGAAGACATGAAGGGATTGTTTCCTGAATATTGGCCTATTTAGATTTATAAGTATTAAGCTACACAGAAAAGATCTTTTAAGTTATTCTAAATAGTATCATATATAATTTTACCAAGTACAGCAAAGATTGTATCAAAGAGGCACTTAATTAAAGAGGATAAATATCTGGAAAAAGAGGCAGACAATTTAATTTGAAATGTAAGCATTTTAGGATTGGTGATTGAATAGATATTTTATTAAGACATATATATTTGGTTCCAATAGAAATATTATTTGATTAATGAGAATGGCTTGTCTGCCTTCTGTAGAATAATTTTTTTGTCAACTTTTATATGAGAACTAGAGAAGCTGGGGAGAGAATATTTTACACTTGATACTATTGTTCTGTCCTATTCTCATTTTATTATTGTTTTGTAGGGAAAGGAGGTGGCATTTTACTCAGTAAATCTACATGCTGTATGAAATAGTATTTTTGGTGTAGTTTTGGGGTTTCTTTTTGTTTTTTAATCCTCACCAAGGATATTTTCTTCCCCATTGTTTCTAGAGAGAGTGAAAGTGAGGGAGGAAGAGAGAGGGAAAAAAAATCTACTGGTTGGCTCTTGCTACTGAGGTTGGGGAACCTGCAACTGAGATACATGCCCTAGACTGGGAATTGAATCCACAACCCTTCAGTCTGAGGGCAATGCTCTTAACTGTTGGGCAAACCAGCCAGGGCATTTTTTGGTGCAGTTTTAAGTGACAACTGTCTTGTGAATTTTAAATATCCATATTGGAGGTAATTACACTTTGTAGATTATCATTCATGGAGAAAAAACAATGGGTTTTTATTTCCATGTCTAAAAAGATGGCATTATATTAGTGTTTTGATTCAGTTAATTTTTAGGATGCTTATGGATAACCTCTTAAGACTTTATACGACTTTTGTTAGCCCTCTGTCTCATTTTTTACATTCTGGGGGAAGCAGAGAAAGAGCTTTTCTTTTATTTTTTGTTAAATATATTTTTATTTATTTCAGAGAGGAAGGAAGAGAGAATGAAAGAGAATGAGAGAGAGAAATATCAATGATGAGAGAGTATCATTGATCAACTGCCTCCCTCATGCCCCACACTGGGGAAGGGGCCTGCAATACAGGCATGTGCCCTGACCGGGAATCCAATCATGATATTCTGGCTCACAGATGGATGCTCAACCACTGAGCCGGGCAAGGAGAAGGAGTTTTAATAGTTTTGTTCCTCAGATGCCGGGCATCCTGCTAAATGCCTCAGAGAGAGTATCTGTAATCTTCATGACACCTGAAACTAAGCATTCTATTGATGAGAATGGAAGCCTCGGGGGTTAAGAAACTAGCCAAGGTCACTCCACTGGCACAGGGTAAAGTTTGAACTTGACCTAGATCCTAGCTGAATTTAGAGCCTTTCCTCCCTATGTTATACTGTCTCTCTGATCTGAAACATTTCAAATCAGCCATACAACATAGTGCACAGATTCACTTTTTTAAAAGTTGTTTTAGTGAAATCTAACAAAGAATTGCTACTGCTGACTCATTCTATAATATAAACCATTTAAATTTAACTTTCCATAAGTTGGTAATATTATACCAACTTAAATCTTTACTTTGGGTTGGGAGCTCTTTCAACAGTAATGATTACCAATAGCAGTTGTTACCAGCAGCTCATAGATGAGCCTGTACCCTGATTAGTTCCACTTGGAAAAAACTCTATCCTTTTTCCAGTAGGAAAGGAAATAGGAAAAGACTAAGGTGTCTAGTATTTTGTTTCCATGTTATTTAAATGTTGGCATGTGGATTATGTGCTAATACATAGTAGTTATGGAAAAATATAGTACATATGTATCGCAGAAGAGAAATGTAACCCTTTTTTTGTATGTCTTTGTTTTACTGATATAATTTGACAGATGTCTTATTTTTTTAATCTTTACTGTTGAAAGTACTACATATGTCCCTTTTTTCCCCCATTGACCCTTTCTAGCTCGCCCCCACACTGGATGTCTTTTTAATTTTAATTCTAAACCCTTTGGTTAGAATATATAGACTGATCCTGCATATGTCATTAACGAATCTTCATACACTTTGATCTATGAATGAAGCAATTCTTCTCTTAAAAGATTTGTCATGTTTACTGATTCTAAGGAGTTAACATAGTTGAATCAAAAGTATGTAGTTAAACCCTGGTCAAGTGGCTCAGTTGATTGGAGCATTGTCTCAATTTTTATCCTTCTTCCCTTCTAAGATAGTCTCTTCTCCTTTAGACTGTCTGATAAACAAATTCATGTTAATGTTACTTTTCCTAATGAGACATTTGCTTTCTACTTATGAAAACTAGATGTTTACTAGCTGTGTGATCTTGGGCAGGTTATTTAACTTGTCTGCTTTAGTGTCCCCTTGTAAAGGGGGATATTACCTATCTCTTAGGGTTAGTGTGTGGATTCAATGAGTTAATAAATTTAAAATACTCAGAAAAGTGCCTGGTGAATAATAGATTTACTGGGGTTTACTATTGGTGCTATTCAAATATCACAACAGTTCATTGGAACAAACTGGTCCTCTAGTGCTTCCAAATCATCTATATAATAAAGAGCCAGGGTCATAATGACTGTTACGACTGAAGGCTTGACCAGACCAGAAGTCAGTGCCGGGTTGCCTAGGGGCCTGTGGATCAGGCCTGGAAAGAGGCCTGCAGAGAGAGAGGCAAGGTCTGATCCATAACCTCTGTGGCAGCCATTGATGAGAACTTGCCTCTCTCTCCCAGCGTGGCCAACAGCCCCACCTTCAGTTCTCTCCAGGTCTCCACCGGGGCTGCTGATGAGCTCCACCTTTCTGATCAGGCCCCATTGATAGGCCCAGCGACACTGACTGGCATAGAAACGGACCAATCAGAACCAAATCAGGGTGACTATAAGGAACCAATGGCTGTCTAGGAGGCAGAGCTTTTGATGCTAACTGGCACAGAAACTGACCAGTCAAAATCAAATCTGGGTCAACTGTGAGGAGCCAATGGCTGCCTAGGAGGCAGAGCTTTTGACTCTGACTAGCATAGAAACTGATCAATCAGAACCAAATTGGTCAGCAGAGGAGGGCAGTTGGAGGTGAGATCAGACTGGCAAGGCAGGGCAGTTAGGGGCGATCAGGCAGGCACAGGCAGTCGGGGGCAAGATCAGGCAGGCAGTTAGGCAGAAAGAGATAGGGGTGATCAGGCAAGCAGGCAGAGGGGTTGGGGCAATCAGGCAGACAGGCAGGTGAGTGGTTAGGAGCCAGTGGTCCCAGATTGTGAGAGGGGTGTCCAATTGGAGTGGGTGCAGGCTGGGCTGAGGGTCCCCCCTCCCCTCTGTGCATGAAGTTTATGCACCAGACCTCTATTATATAAATAATATTTAACTGTATGGTTGTTTCTGACCCAGTGGAATCTTTTCATATTGATTGATTGATTGATTGATTCAGCAGACACCTACTTTATTCCAGGCATTGTTTCTAAGTACTAGAGATATACAACCAAGTCAGACAAATTCCAGCTCTCACCAAATTGATATTCTAATGGGCGGAGACAAACAATAACATAAATGATAAATGGTAATATATAGTATAGAGAAAATTTGGCTAAGGGAGAAGTGTGCTCAGGTTAGGGATTATTGGTCAGGGAGGCCTCACGGTGCCCGAGGCTGACTTCCAGAGGTCGGAGGCAGCACTGTCAGTATTGTGCCAGCGGTGCCTGGCCCGTTCTCCAGAAATTGGACCTACAGGACTACTGAGGGAGAGAGTGGTGCCACCAGGCTGATGGGACATCAGGAAGGGTCAGTCAGCTGAGCAGTGCTTCTGCTGTGGGAGTGTACTGACCATCATTCTTACATTGAGCATCTGCCCCTGGTAATCAGTGTGCATCATAGCAACTAATCTACTGGTCGTCTCATTCTTTCAGATGGTTCAATCCTAATGATCGCTTAGGCTTTTATATATATAGATGCTTACCTACATAGTAGGTGCTTTTGTTTTTAAATTTAACTCTGGTTTTTATTTGTTGTTTGTTTGTTTGTTTGTTTGTTTTAAGAACTGCTTTCTGAAACAAGTTTTCAAGAAGCTCTTCGGGAAAGCATCCCTGACATTCAAGCGCATGAGTGGGTGCCACTGTGGCTACTGCGATATTCAGTCATTGTTAAAAGTAGAGGAATTATCAAATCAAAAGGCTACATCTTACAAGCTAAAAGAAGGGTTCCTTAGCTATGACTTAGGATCATAACCTACTGACTTGTATTTTCTTTGACTATAAGATAAAATTGAGATATGTAAAAATCTATTTACTGTGGTGTCATTGAGGCAAATATTCTTTAGTAATATTTGACATGTTATCTGTCAAGTTTTGAATACTTCTCTTGCCTCCTATTACTTAACTCACATGAACCTCTGTATTGTTTTCATTAAACTATTGTTTTCTAATTGAAATCATCTACAAAGAAAATATTTGCAATATATTTTGCCTTTATTTTTATGACTAATAGAAATTAAGAATGTTTGTTGTTAGATATATTTTTGCCTAGGCATCAGGATAATGTATAGTAGTAGGTACATATTTTTTATTTCAAAAAAACTCATTAATTGCTTCTTACTCTATAGTATAACTAAGCAATTTGGTTACAATTGTTAAAACTGCTGAAATACTGGAAGATATTTTTCCTGTTGATAAGATTATTATATCTCAGAGTAACTGGAGTAGCTGGGATCTAGTAGTAGTGTAAATAAAATTCATGTCTTCAGTACATGGATAGAAACAATTTTTTATTAAGTTTACTTAATAACCTTGCTGGTAGTTTACCTATAATGACTTAACCTTGTATTCCTGTGCCATATTTTCTCTTGCTGTTATTTACAAAGATAAACCAAAGTAAATCTAAAAAGGAGACTAGAATCACTCCCAATAAATTCAACTTAAAAAAAGAAAAATAAATTAAAAAAAGAAAAATGAGACTAGAAACTTTGAAATAATTGTTTGGAAGTTTTATAAAAGCTACTTATTACCTTCAGATTCTTTTTAATTCTTGATTTATCCTTAGTATTTTTGCTATTGATTCAAGAATACCCAATAAATATTGAGCAGTTACCATGTGCTGGGCACTGTGGGCTCTGGAAAGAGGAGGGGGCTCAGGAATTAAGAGTAAGTTGCTAACTATGATATTTGTTCCCCACTAATAATTGACTATGAGGGACTAAAAGCAAGGAAAGAGGTATAAAAAGCCTTACTTATTTAAAAGCAAAACAATATAATCAGAACTTTAGAGCTAAAAGAGACTTTAGATCATTTAATATAATTCCTCATTAAAGAGCCAGAAAATAGCAAATAAATAATCTTTGACCTATGATATATACTATATATCTTCTTAATTCTATAAACTGGGAAGTTCTTTAAAAATCTCTTTTCTCTCAATACTTTTAATCCATGCATTTTAATATATGATTTATAAATATAAACATATATATAAACTAATATATAAAAATAATTTGCCCAACTTTTTTCAATGTAGGGAAAAAAACTATGGTTCCATATTCAAAGTAAATACACTAGACTCTTTTCTTATCATAAATAAGGTTTTGAATTTAGTGGTTAGATAATTTGATCATCAGAATTATATTGTTAAATCGATTGATTTACCTGATAAAACTTATTTAGACTTTGAGCTTCCTAAAGCCTTATATAGCCTTTATATTAATTGTGTGTAATGTTATTAAGTGTATATAATTAACTTTTTTATTTGGAAACATACATTTTCATATAATGTAAGTCTTTAAACAAATGCTCGTCTTAATTTAAGCCTATATACCAGTTGTTCAAGATACTTAAAGAGGAAATTTTAATATCACATTTATTGTTTTCTTTTAACCCTCATCTTACAAATAATGGATTGTTTGAAGGGTTATTTTGAAAATGGGAAAAAATGTATGCTGTTAATGTATCCAAACTTAAGAGGAGTCTTTTTGTGTTCTTTCCCCCCCACTCCTGACAAAGAAGATTATAGATTCATTTTGTGAAAGGGAGCATGTTTGAAATATTTAAATGAGTGTTTGTTTCATTTCTCTATCTTTAATTAGTTATTAAATAACTTTTTTTAAAAAATCTATTTTGATTTCAGAGAGGAAGGAAGAGGGGAGAGAGAGAAATATCAATGATGAGAGAGAATCATTGATAGGCTGCCTCTTGCACGCGCCCCCTACTGATTAAGCCCAAAACCCCAGCATGTGCCCTGACTGTGAATCAAACTGTGACCTCCTGGCTCATAGGTTAATGCTCAACCACTGAGCCACACCAGCCAGGCTGAATAAACTTTTTAAAGAAAAAGTTGATTTTTTAAGACTATATAATTTTTCAAGCTGATGTTCACATCTTTTTTGTGTGTGTGAACTATCAGAAAATAGTGAATACTTTTCAAATATTTAAGAACTTAATGTTTAAAAAGCCATAAAATAAAGAAGTGTTACTACCAAATAATTGCTTAAAGCTGAAAGCTAAGTTATCAATAGTGTCTACAACAGATATATTTTCTGGGGAGATGAGTATCCAGGGACCAAGACAGAAAGAATTCATCTAATTTTTTTTTTCAGTAAACATGAAAAAAAAAACATAAATACTGCAGCTTATCATTACATTTCCAAAATACACTAGAGCCTTACTTTAGCACAATATACTGTAACTTGGGAGTTTGCTTTGTGATAAGTCTATTATGAATTCCCATCCAAGAAACTGTAGTCACCAGAAGGACCAAGGTGTCTTATAAAATATGTCCACATAGTGTAAATTCTGAAAACCACTTGTGCCAGTACACTAGTAGATATTCACTTAGGGATAACCCATGCTAGAATTTGAATCATAAGTAACAGCTAATGATTTTTTAAAAATATATTTTATTGATTTTTTATAGAGAGGAAGAGAGGGATAGAGAGTTAGAAACACCGATGAAAGAGAATCATCTATCAGCTGCCTCTTGCACATCCCCTACTGGGGATGTGCCCACAACCAAGATACATACCCTTGACCGGAATCGAACCCGGGACCTTTCAGTCCGCAGACTGACGCTCTATCCACTGAGCCAAACTGGTTTTGGCAACAGCTAATAATTTTTTAGTACAGCCTAATTTCTCAAGAAAGATTAGACAGCTATGTGTGAAATGGAAAAAAAAAAAAAAAAAAGTCATTCTATTTTGAATGAATAGTTCAGACTTTTCTCTACCAGAGCCAATTAGTAAGTGAAATAGAATCTTAATTATATCTCTTCAGACAAGATTTCTGTTCTAATATTTCCACCCATCATTTTCAATATTTGGAAATGTAAGCGACGATATATTTATTGTATATTGGCTGACAGTTCATTTTTCTGCCAATTGTACATTTAAAGAAATTAGAAGTTGTTTTAATGAGAACTTGGTTATTTTGTTTTTTTTATCCTCACCCAAGGATATGTTTAGTATTTTTTTATTGATTCTAGAAAGAGGGGAAGGGAAAGGGAGAAAGAGAAACATAGATGTAAGAGAGAAACATCAATTGGCTGCCTCCTACACATGCCGCTACTGAGGATCAAACCTGAAACCTGGGTATGTGCCTGACTGGGAGCACCAATACCCTTCAGTGCATGGGACAGTGCTCTAACCATTGAGAACATCAGCCAAGGCTGAACCTATTTTTTTAAACTTAACTTCCTAATGTATCAGAATTTATACCTGTTGTTTTCCCATAATGTTAGTGGGATGTCAGTTTTATTTTTGAAAATATGTAACATAACTTCTCCCTACCAGATAATTCTACTGTCTATAGTAAAGTACTATAAAATACAGACAAAATATAAAGCATTGGGTTTTTTTTAATCCTCACATGAGGATATGTTTTCATTGATGAGAGAGAGAGAGAGAGAGAAAAACATATATCAATTGCCTCCTGTATGCACCCTGACCAGAAATCAAATCCACACTTTTTGGTATACGGAATGCCCTCCAACCAACTGAGCCACTTGGCCAGGGCAAAAATATAATATAGCGCCATCAGCGTGTGGGAACAGCGGGGCTGCCAGCAGACGGGACTGGAGCCACAGCATGAGGGGCTGGGCAGGGGGCCGGGGATGGGCCGAAACCCACTCCTGGGCCCACCGCAGCCTTGCCTCCCACAGTTCCTTTCAAGGTGCAGAAATTCACACACTGGGCCCCTAGTTCATATTTATAATAGTTTTTAATTTTGCTTATGAATTTAAAGTGTGAGTATATTTTAATTGAGTTGTTTTAACAGTTGAAAATATCCTGAAACAGTATACTGATTTTGAACTCAAACTAAGTATATGAAAATAAATTATAATTTTTAAATATCCAAGCCATAAAGCTATTCATGCATTCATTCAACAGCTATATAAAATGCCTGATATGTAACACATTGTGCAAGGTATTTGGCAGGTAAACACAGAAATATAAAGATCTGTACATGAACCAGACCAATAACAACCTGCATCTATTAATGATCGCTATGGTGAAAAGAGATTGGGGGATACGTGGAAGGAAATGGGGCTTGGAAGCACTATTTTTAGAAGAAATTAGCTTTAGGACAGGATCAGAGGAGGAGGTAAGGGCGGGCATTTTGCCCAGTTTATAGATGTGTTTTTATTGAATGACAGTTTATAACATAAACTTTAGAAATTTAGTGGAAACACTTTAAGATCTTGTGCTTACCAAAGAGAAAGGAATGACTTCTGATGAGATAAGAGTAGGTAAGGTTGGGAAAGTCATGTCATATAAAAGGGAGACTAAAACTTGCTCAAATCCCCTGAACATATCAGGATATATCTCTTATGTAGTTTCACTACCAGAAAAGTCAAAAACTTAATATGTATCCCTCAGTAATGAATAAATGTATAAAATGTTATATAAGATTTTTGTGTGTTGGTCCGTTATTTTAAGAACATTCATATTTTATAATATGCATTACTTATTTTGAGCACTATTTTTCTTGTTTCTTTACTCACTGTTGATTCTTGCATCCTACTCCATTTATGTTCCCTTATTTCTTAAGTCTGTCCTTAGTAATTAGCAAAGGTCTTTGGGCAATAAATGTTTAGGCCCTGTTTGTCTGAAAATGTATTTATTTTGTTCTCAACTTTAATGGTCATTAGACACTAAAGAATTCTAATTTTCCAAATACTTTCCCTCAGCAACTTAAATATTCCACTGACAGTATATATACTCTTGCTATT